TGCCCCTTGCCTTGCTATGTGGACTCTTTGAAGTAAAAACAGGAAAAATAAATAAAACAATGGGCTAAATCCCAGGCTTGTGTTCCCACTTGGACAAAAGCCTACATTTCTGTCAGTGCAAGGAATTAGAAATGTGTAAGACTCAGGGGCTCATTAGGAGATAAGCACTGGACCCACCTCATAGGTCAAAGGGACACATTAAATTCATTCTAACTTGGAAAAGGTGAGACAAAGAAAACATGAAGTGAGTTGTAAAAACAGGATCATTGTTCTATATACCCTTAAGTCTAGCAGTAGAGAATTCTGCTTTTGAGGATAAGAAATTACTCAACAGAGACTGCCCCCACTGTCCCTCCTCCAGCATCAGCAGACAAAGCAACAAATGTGGCTTCTTGGCATCTGGCACAGATAAATGAGCAGGAAGACTACTGTAGGCTCCAACATATTGCTTCCACAGGAAAAGTACACTTTGTCCATATCTAGTACCAGCACTGCTTGTGTTAAAAGTTAGCACCTCAGCAAAAATGGTGCAAGGGTATTTTAAACAAGACCTCTAATAAATTTTTCTTCATCGTGGTAGACTGGAGAAAAAGCAGCGTGAGTTTCAGTATGGGCTGAATCTGATCAGATGCGCAGGACAATGGTTAATAAAATGTACTCAAGACCACTTCAGAGCATCTTTGGCTGTGCTGCACCAGCTGGGTTATGGCACACCCATCCTGCTATGGCCACAAAAGCTAGTGACAAGAAGGAAGAAGAGCAATGCTGCCACTGCAATCAACCCAACCTCACCATTAGATTCCTGAATGATGTACACCTTGGTAATCCTGGTATATACAGCTCAGGAATGGATATATATGGGAAATGGGAAGAAGGGAATAAAAACTCTGACTCCTCTTACTGGAGTTGTGTGTTTCTGCAATAGGATTTAACTCAGTGGAGGAACAGAGCCAACTAAGTGTTATGTCATGTCTCTGCTCCAAGGTTACATTGGAAATCGTTGGCAGATACTTTAGATGTTTACTTTAAATAGAGCCACCGTAATTTTCCCCATAGGCAACTGCATGTGTAATGGCAAAAGTTGGGTTTGAATATCACTTCCCCTGGCATTAAATCAGAGACAGAAATGTAAGCCAATGGGAACTACGTCCCTGATACTGATGCCTTTAGAAGTCTCCTACTCACCTATCAGATTCTGGGGTGATTAAGGAGAAGGGCATGTAATACCCTGAGGTTCTGCTTGTTTTCGTAAACAACTTCTGAAGTTCATGTGCAGTTCATCTCTTTTTATAACACATATCTAGACAGCCATGTTTTTGGCAATTTTCTATTTTCCAACTGCCAGGCATATTTCTGCACTATAGCACCTGCTCTCTTTTAGTTTTGATTCTGAAGCACTGGTGACATGTGTCAACAGACACTTATTCTATCTCTCAACTGGAGCTTCAGGCATGGATATTTTTGGTTGAAAGAAATATCTCTGAGCTTGGAGAAAATGGCCATCCTAACATAATGGGAATTTTTCAGTAGCAGTAAAAGAGAATATCTATAAAGGGATTTTGTCAGGGCATTCAGAGCCAGCGCTAAACAGGAAACAAGTTTAATTGAATTTTTCTGGTTGTATTAAAGGAAAGAATGCACCTATTCCCTAAATTACACAAAAATTCATTGGAGATAGTGCCAATTTCCACAAGTGCAAAAACATCATAATTAGAACTACAGAAGCAAGATCTTTTCCTTTTGAAAGAATCCCCTGGGAACACAGGAAACAGAAGTTTAATATTTCAGGGAAGTGCTAAATTAAGGCAATCTCGTGGTTCAAATTCAATGACTTTTTTCCCCTGGAACATTAATATTTTACCAGAATATTCCAAAAGAAGAACTGTGAATCTGCTAAATTTCAACTGATAGGTAACCTGGCATATCCAGCTCCTTGCCACACACAAACAAAATCTATATTCTTCTTATTTCTCTTCATGACTCTGAGCTGTACAGCAGGCAGAACCAGTGAATCAGCAGTGTTCTGTCTGTCTCTGCCCTGCCTGACTCCAGTGCAGTCCTGCTAGAGGATGCTGATGTATTCAGCTGCATTTGCTCACTTGCCTGTGAGATGGTCTTTGCTCACCAGGCCAGTTACCGAGTAGGGAGAATCTGCTCCCTTTCTTGGCAAGTGTAGTTATTGCATTTCGTAATATCAAGTTATTTCAATTTAGCAAGACATAGAACACTTATTTCTTTGGCTAGATCTTATCTTCTGGCTATGGATAAATGTCATACTCATTCTATTAGCTTTCTCAGCATCTTTTAAAGTTGTGCAATATCTGGTATGAAAGAGATCAGCAGCTCAAATCACTCCCTTCAACCTGAATGCAAAAGGATAAGAAAAATACATCTCATTTCTCACTGAGATTTCTCTGTGAGGCTTCTTACCATTCTCCTTTCTCATGAGAGATTCAAAGACTGTGGGGAGCTTCTAAAATAATTTTGTATGCTTTGGTGTGCTTTAATTTCAGATTGCTGCCTATGCAATAGCTCCCTAAATGTCCCAAAAGGTCCCAGCTTTGATTTTGCTTTGTTGATGCCTGATGGAAAGCTCCAGCTTTTACTCAAGAAAAAACACTGTGAGAAATCAATGTAGTTGTAATTGCTGTGCAGAAATTACCTCCACCTCTCATCTCCGTATTTCATTCTTGCCTTTTCTGATTTCTGAGAAACAAATCTTTCCCAATTACTTTCCAAGATTTATTCCATGTATGAATTCAGTGTATTACTACTTTAGAGTATTACTGTTACTGATACACCCTCTGTAAATCAAACCTTCTCTACTAATTTTTATTACATATGACACCAAGAAAGATATAAGCAAGTGTGGGTTAAAAACTAGGAGGCCAGAACTTCAGATCTTAGATTAAGTATGACTTTTTTTCTCTTATGGAAATTGAGTCAGTAACATTTAAGAAAACACAAATGATTGGTTTTTCCTCCACAGGAGATACTAAAGCAGAAAGAAACTGGAAAAGTCAGTCTTGTGCTAAGATCTGCTATGACAAGTTTAAGCCTCAAATGATTGTATTTTTAATGTCCAAATTGCAAATCCATGCAGAGGAAATCTCTAGTATTTCCAGCAGCTGCTGAAAAACAAAAGGCTTTTTCCAGTTACAGAAAATCACTGTGAATTATGGCTTGATCATATCTTGCCATATTAGTTTTTAATATGTGGAACTTAATTTTAGGTAACTGCATAAAGTAGAGCATCTTAGAAACTCCTCAGAATTACTTTGGGCCTGACTTTATCCTTAACTGGGGAACCAGTCAAAGCTATCAATTAATCTCACATATATTGATTATAATTTCCTTTACACATCTCATTAACTATAAAATGATAATGATGACAACACCCCCCAGTAGAAACAGGTATTTGGATTAAATCAAGGAGTTGAGTGATTTAGCTGATCAAGGTTACTGCATCTGCAGAGTATGTTGAGGGAAAGATAGACAAAGAGAAAAATATAGGTTTTTTTAATAATGAATATTTTTACTATTTTTTTCATTCTCATAACAAAAAATTGATTGTCCCATCCCTTGATGCTCTCTGAGGATTTTCCCTCAAAATGAGGGAAATGAGGTAGCAGAACACAACCTAGGCATGGAAATGAACTGTTCTCACTGGGGAATGAATTAAGTGAACAGAGAGCTAACATGATAAAGGGAATCCTTACCTCTAGCTAGAAAAACAGCTGCTTTATTTATTACCACTCTTTACTACTGCATTATTCAACATGGAAACTGCAGGAAAAGAAGTGTTAATTAATACACATACTTGTTCACCTTCAGAGAATTCATATTTGTGGGACTCAGTGGTTTCAACATGGGTTGAATAAAAGAGAAAAGTGAGCTCCATTGGGCATTTCAGATGAGGTTTTCATAGCGGGAGATCTACTGCTTGTTAGAGCTGCCTATGTAAGTGTGAAAGAAAAGAAATGAACCACCTGTACTCTTACTTCAGCCTCTCACAGGCAAGATAGGAATATTCAGTGACTACTGATGCATACCCATGCCCACAAGCTTCCCTCACTATGGTCACTGGCTAGCAATGGCACGGTTAGACAGGGGTCACTCAGCAAACCAAGAATTACCATGTCCATTCAGAACTCATGCTGAAATCTGGGGAGAGAATGTAGAGCCATGGTGGCCACAGACTGGGAAATGTTGCCTGGCAAACTCGACACCAGCCAAGGTGACTTACACCACTCCCATTAGTGCAAGCCAGACTGTAGCATGGCCATTTTTCTTAAGCACAGAGAGAATGCAGCCAGCCTCTATCTCTCAGAAGACTCCTCAGCTACTCTGATACCTTCTCCTCATGCATCTCATTCTCAGAGGCTCCAGCTCCTGGCCACAATTCCAGATATAGTGCTCTATATACCAACCATTTTGATTTTGTCCCCTCTGTGGGCCTAATCCACATAGTACAGTGCTGAAAACATTATCATTACAATTATGCAAAATATACATACAAACTCTGGCATAAAATTGCAGAATACACACAGAATGTGGCTTTACTATTTTTGTATGTGGCTAGAATACAAATTCATTTCCTAGTAGTGGGAAGAGTAAGTAAGTGAGTCCTCACACCCACTCCGCATATTTCTGTTTTGTTTCTGATTTGGTGCAAATCAATAAATATTAAATTGGTTCCAGTCCTTAGGAAATTTTTATGCAAAAATTATAAAATCAGACAAAGTGAAAAATTCCATTTTAAGTTTGCTTACCTGGAATACTGCGGTGAGCAGGTTTCCTATTCAACTGGGTGACTTTTTGGTATGTTTCTTTGCAGATTTTTTTTGGTTTGGCTTTGGTTTTGGCAAACAAGTAGTCTTCAGTGTTTTTACAGCAGCGGCTATTACAGAAACTATGTCTCTTGCACTTCTTTTCTTGGAGGGTGGACAAAATAAACAAACTGAAAATAACACTACAATGAACAGTAAATGATGAATGACTTACAGTACAAAAAACAGTGTAAAAAGGAAGACAAGTTTAAATATTGTTGTGTATGAAAGGGATGAAAATAATACAAGGATGAGAATAAGTAAAATGATAGGCTGGAACATCTGGGAAAGTAAATACAAAGACAAAGAGAACAGTCAATTAATGGAATAGCAAGTCCAAAGTTTAAACAAAATAAATAGTGAATCAGACTATGCTTGTGGAGGGACCAACTGCCCATCTCCCATTTACTTCAGTAGGAGTTCTGCATGGTCAAGCCCTGAAATGTCCAATTGTTAAATGTTCAATTGCTGTTATTTGTTTAAAGAAAATACTAATTAGTTTGTTTTAAATTTGTGTAAGTCCATGCAGCACTCTGCCTTTAAGCTAATGGGAGCTCTACAAGCTCAGAACTACTGCTAGATCAGGAAGTGAGCATGCTAAATGCCGTCTCTGTTTGATTTCATGCAATACATGTACAGTAATTGATTAGCTTTAAACTCACTGCGTCTGTGACTTTCTGATACAAGGAAACAAAAGACTAATTAGTCAGCATAGGAATAAGAATAGCTTTCAGCTTCACCTGGCAACTACTTCGACTGTAAACTAGCAAGACAGCACAAAGTAAATTAACACAGCAAGAGACTTACAAAACATTGGATAACTTCATTAGCAATAACAAGATATGCCAACTATAGGATTGCATGATAAGATAAGGGTAGGTAATTTTCATTTTTCATGGAAAAAGATCTTGAGTCAGCAAGGAGTTTGCTCCCCAAAACCTCTCTGAAACAATTCTGCACAAAAACAAACCACAACAAAGACGCTTGTTACTGCTGCATGCAAGCAGTGATTAACAGGCCTTCAACAAGATGCAATCTATTACAGCAATTACAGTGTTCACATTACTGCGTGGCTCTGTGACTCCGTAAGGTAGATCTGCATGGTTTTTTAATCTGTGGTTTGCCATATTCTCTACAATTTTTGAAATTTAGCATTTCCTTCCACTTAAAATTAATAAAATTTTCCTTTTATTCATTTCAAGGAACCCATCCACTAAGAAAACAATCATGTACGTTTATGAATCATGTTCATATGTACTAAAAATACTGTTTGCACTGCCTGTAGTGGCAATGAAGGCCCAACTCCGTCAACTGCAATTGCAAAGCAAAGAAAGGAGTCAAATGCTCTACCTAAAATTAGAGCATATTTTTAATTTCCAGGAGACCTGATTTATTCACTGTTCACAAACAACCCTATTGGTAGAATTTGTTTTCATATGGCCAAATGAGGATTTTAAGTAATATAAGAAACAGTGATTTTTGTCCACTGCCTAGAATAAAGAATTTCCTTTTTGTTCCGTAAATCCAATTTGAGGTTTAATTTGCTTGGCAGAGCCTTTTTACCTGTAGGCCGTAATAAGTAAAAGTCTACCTGACTCACTGACAAAGGTTCATCTGCACTTCGATCGTCCGAGGACTTCGGAACTTCGAGTCGGTCGATGAAAGCCTGGAGCTCTTTCCTGAAGGCCTTCATCTGCGCGTTGATCCGGTACAGAAGCTCGTGCTCACGTATTCTGCTGCCATCGTCTTCTTCGTCCATCAGTCCAAAGAGGTCCCCGTTAGCTACATAAATTCTTGCCTCCGTGATGATGGTGCTCGTGTCAGAAATTAAGCGATCTATTGTCTTGCCCAGCCGCTCCGCTTCAGAGCGAATGTCCTTCATCTGCTGCCTGTCAGTGAAGCTTTTCTGCCACCCAGACGGCGTTGGATAAAAAGACCTCGTGGGCGTCAGGCACCGAATGTTGCGCACCTCTTCGGAGTCACTTTCCCCCCCAATGGGACCTTCCCTTTTGCGGTGAGGGGGGCGGGAGTCATCATCGCTCTCCTTTTTTCCTGCATCACTTTCCGCATCACTGTCTCTAGGGCTGCCACGGATTCCAAGATGAGAGGCCAAGTCGTAGCGCTGCATGTTGGACATTAAGACTCTGTTCTCATACTGGAGCTGCATGACTTTGCCGCTCAGCTCATTGATCTGCATTCGTGCAGCTTTTAGCTCCTCCTGTAATGCTTCTGTCTTGGCATTGTCGTGGTGCCTAGAGCTCTCATGGGCCCCAGACTTGTACTTGTATTTGTTCAGCTCAGCTGTTATGCGTTTGTTTTGTTCTTCTAAATCAGCTACATTTCTCCTCAGCAATTCAGTTTCATCTTCTACTAGCTGCAAATGCTGTCGTAATTCTGACAGGGATTCATTCTGCTCACCCAGGAGTGGGTTAGTGGTCCCTGAGAAATCATCTCCTCTTAAATCATCAAGCTCTGCTTTCAGTCCTCTATTTTCTACTTCTAGTTCCACTATTTTCCTCCCGAGAATGTTAGCTTCCTCCTCCACAAGCCTCAATCGAAGCTTGAGTTCAGCTTCTCTTGTAGTAGGTGGCCCACCTGCTTCACCTTTTGGCAAGGGGCTGTCCAAATCCCCATAAAATGATCTGTATTTTTGCAGCTCATGTTCAAATCTGTCTTTCTCTTTATCAATTTTAGCCATTTTCTTCCTCATCAAGGCTGCTTCTTCTTTGACAAACTGTAGCTGGCATTTCAGGTCTTCATTGTCATCCTTAGGAAAAAAAAAAAGCAGTATTTGAAGAAACCTGAAGTCAAACCTAAAGTGGATTTCCTTAGCTTACAGAAATAACAGTCACAGGTACAGACACTAAGATATTTTCCTGCAATATTTTTTTCACAGATCAATAAATTAAAGAGGGGAAAATACTATTTTACTTGTGACTAAAATTTGCACAGTCCCCAGAAGTATCTTGGGGGATGGGAAAAGGGGAGCTTGTAAAAAACCTCATCTTTTCTATGCTTGCAACATTATCAGACTTAACAGTGTTCAAAAATCCTGAAGTCGGCACAAATAGAGCCCATAAATCTTGTTTCACTGCTGCTGCCATTTACTTTGCCTAAAATACAGGGTAGGTGAAAGCTGGTAGGTTCTGTTGCAGCACCAAGTTTGTTTAGGTGGTCCTTGAGATTAATGGTGTCTGACTGTGGATCTGGGGTAAAAGCTCTTCATTTCACAGCATACAGGAATGCAAAGGGCAAAGCAAAAAGCAAGCCAAGTGCAGATATGTAAACCATGTATCCCATTCCCATAGTTCCCTGAAGTCTCCACATAAGAATCGAGGCTACAGCTACTGCAACATACCTCTGTTGGTGTCTGCTGTGACTTTTTTTCTGATTTTGGTGGGTCTTTGCTTCCTCTCCTTTTCAGTAATTGCTGCAATTACAACAAAAGGACATGCACTGAATTTTTCAAAAGGTATACTAAAGATGTATATCATTTGTATACCATTAATTTAAAAATATAGCAAATCAAATGCAATTATAAAAGAATTAATTTCTTGTAATTTTTGAGATACCAAATACAGAGGAAAGATGACATTGCCCAAAAATGAAACAGCAATGGCACACAAGTAAGGTTTTAGTTTAATCAGTCTGTTACCTTTTTTATTCAACACACTTTAAGACTAGTGCATTATGAAAACACATGACAAGAGTGGTAAGAAAACAGGCATCCCAAGTGGTAACTTAGAGGTGAGAAAACTGAGACAAGCAGTGAAACCCAGCCTGCCCATTCAATATTAACCCTGGTGGGCCCAGGGCACTTTAAAAAAGCCTCGGTCTTAGACTTTGTGGTGGGACAGCTCCAAAAACAGTGTCACTGAGATCTGTGGCTGACTCCAGTGTACACCTACAAGCACAGCTTTCTCTGTGTCCCCCCCTCAGGCTTCAAGCTTGCACTGTACTGCAGTCACACCTCCTTACCTGTACACTGGGGACAAACTCACACATAGCTCTGGTCACTAGGTTTGTTCTGTTCTCAGATCATATTCAAATAAATGCCATTTAAAACTGCTTGCACTACAAAGTTCTAAAGAGAAACAAATCATACCAGCTCAAGAACAGAAACACACAAACACAGGTCTGCACCACCATATGAGATTCTTTGGTGTCCTCTCATATGCTAAGTAGCCCATGAGAGTAGAAAATAAACTCCTGCTTTCAGAGCAGGATGCACTGGGATTGAAGCCAGCTAGTGTATCCAGGAAAAATGTTGTAGCTGCTGACAGCAGAAACCTTGTTATGGAAAAGCAGCAGCAGTGAAAAACAATTGCTAGCATCCGACTGGCAACATTCAATGCTCATCATCAAGAAAGCAGCAGGAGGAGGCAAGTAAATGAGAGAATATGTCAATACATAACACCCCACTTGCAGCTGTTCCCAGTTTTTGTGTTCCCCAGGTAAAATGTAGTCCCCAAGGCAGGACAGTGATATAACCACCACCATCTTCCTCTGAGATTATTCTCTGATAGAAAAATCCTTCAAGAGACATACATTTCCCTGCACCAGCTGGGGCAGAATCCAGCTCTATCAAAAAGCCATCCAGTTCTATAGACTGGGAATTAAAATGCATTCATAATCCTCAAGAAACACAGTACAGTGAATGGGTACACTGCACATAACAATCCTGTGCACCATTTGGCTGCTGGTACTAATCATCCTCTTTCTTCTGCAGATTAACTCCATTAAAAATTCCTACACTCAGAGACTGCTCACTCAAAAGAAAAAGTTAATGCCATAGAAACATTCACGTGTATATCAAATTTTTATGTCTCTTGCAGACACATTGAATGCTCTCAGTAGACCAAACCATAAAACAAATCAAAGATCATAGCTAGAGAGCTGGATAGCTGTAAAACACAGGCTTCTAATGGAATCCAGAAAAGACATGAAAATAATTCAATTAACCTATTTTTCCCTTTAAGTATAAACCCAGCAACTTTGGGATCCAGTCTACAAACAAAATTATTCTTTTTCAGAGTCACCCACAAGTTATGCTGTTGTAGAACTGGTACATGGATTTTTGGAAGGGTTGTTTTGCTGTTTTCTTTTAGAATTGGCAGGTTTATAAAGCCCTAAACTTTCAAAGGAGTAGGTTCCTCCTCTATATCACCATTAATTATACCACTATGTATTACCACTTTGAAAAAACCCTTTTCAAATCAGTTTACACTGCAAACTTTTCCTTGCCCCATATTTATGCCAATACCACCCATTAATGATAATAATAATAAAATAAATAAATAAATAAATAAATAAATAAAATATGCTATAGTTAAACTATATTTTTGCTTTATTACCTAAATGCCTTTTGTTCACCCCGTTGAGCTCAGCATCTCTTCAAAAACAATGAAGTTCTGAAATGCTGGGCTGAAACATCTTTTGTACCCTACAAAAGATATCTCAGAAGATAAAAGAAAAACTACTTTTCTAGGTTTGATGTCAAAGGAAAAACCCCTGTTTTTCTCCTCTATTGCTCTATTTTTTGGTGTTCCTTTTAGTAGTCAGGATAGTAATATTCTAATTACAACAGTAGTTGTGGCTATGTAATGATTAGGCACTCTATTCTATTCTGCTCTCCTTAAATTACAACCAACTCTCCCAGAGCTTATACTGTTCGCCAACAAAATCTCAGCATTTAGCAAAAATTTTATAGCAGAAAGCACTGAAGAATATGCACAATTCAATTAGCAGGATGATGTGGGTAAGCAGATTAGGCCCAGCTGGGCCTAAATTGGTATGATCTCTTTTCATATGAAAAACACTGTGAGACAATTTCTGATCACTGGAGGTTAACATCCCACACATCTCAGCTGACAGATAATATCCTCACAATCACAGTGTCCCACAACAGCATGTCAGGGCACTGAGGCAATGGCAGTATTGCACTAAACAAAGAATCCCGCATATCAAGAAGAATATTCTGCCATAAATATTATTTTTTTGTTATAAATACTAAATTTTCAAGGGTTTCTTCCAGATGTGCATTTCACAGTTTACAGTGGCTACTCTTTCTATCAGTTCTCTCAAGCCTTGTACTACTGCAGTCTTCCAGTTCAATTTTCAACATGAAAAAATGTATCGCTGCTAATGAAATAAGCAATGAAATTCATTGCAGCAAAACGGAAAAGGGAAAAAGATGTTCAAACTAACACATGGCAGAACCAAAAAATAGCAGCTCAGACTCCTGCTTGCAAATCTTCATACCAAACCCGAGACTGGACATTACTAAAATTGTCTGCACATTGCTTGTCACTAAAAGCCACCTCTGCTGCTTTCTCCACTGTAGCAAAAAAATCTGCCCCTCCTGTGCTAGAATTGGTTTTCTAGCACAGAGTTTATTGTGAAGGACAGTTTGTGGGCTCAGATAGTTTTTTCCCTAATAATAATTAAAAAATCCTATTCAGAAGTGTCTACAGCCGAGATAAGGCTGCAGATAATGTTTGTTTTAGATGCAAACCAGATCTCACACAAAGGGCAATTCTGCTGCGGTGCTCAGCAGCATCAATTCTCCAGTGACCTTCACTGGAGTTTGTCCAATGTCTTGCTGGAGATGCTAAGCACTTCTCAAGATGGCATAATCCTTCTCTTGCCAGCCCTAAATTGCAAGCCAAATGTGCAGTCCTAACATCACCTGTCATGCTCAGTGCTTCTCAGGTGGAAAGAGACGTGAAATCTACTCTGAGAAAAACACAATGCAGAGATAACTGCATCAACTCCATGGAGGCAGAAAGCTGTACTATGAGCTCAAATTCTTCCTACCTGGTTCTAAGCTAAAATAAGTATCTCAGCAATTAATAATCCTTAAGCAAAACCTACCAAGATTTTTCAAGATGCTTAGGTCTGATTATTTCAAGCCTGATCTAGAGGTATATTATCTAAAAATTGTGGTAGGCAACCTTGGGAGGAATTCCTGACACATCAAGGGATTTATGCATGCACAGGCCCTATAACAGCCTTTATGCCTCCTCAAAGAACAGGGTAAAGGGTGTGCAGCTCCTTGAATCTACCACAGCTACCACAAACCTTCTCATCTGCACAAAACTCTGCTGTACTTGGCTATGGTTAGCTGACCCCCAACTGCTGTGACACATCTGCAGAGCATTCAAAAATGAGAGTAAGCCTAACACCATGTTTACAGTCTTGAAAAGCTGATGAATACTGAACAATTTTTGGGCTGCACAAACTTGCCTCTGTGTGGCACAGAGTGACTATGACCAGGGAAATGTAAATTTACCCTAAACCTCTCTATTTTCCCTATAATCAATATGGCTGTGTAAGTCATGGAGCTGAATCAAAACAGGCACAAGAGAGATATTTTAGTTTTCTGCTGCTGGACCTAATGTAGTAAAAACGAAATTGACACTATCCATGTTGGCAAATTGAAAATTTATATTCTCCAACAAAAAAAAAAAAAAAATCTTTGTTTTTAAAATTTCTTCCTTATTCTGCAACTCTTAGTGCAATTTGCCAGCAATTTCCAAGCTCAAGATGCTGGCTTTGTCTGTCATTGGCACAAGTACACAGAATGATAAAATAATTCACTCCTTCCGCCACCATTCTAGAGCAGGAGAGGTCTTGAGTATTTCTGTATTCTACTTGCTTTGCAAAATTAAGTCACAAATGAAAAAGCAGAGGTTAACTGAGATACAAAAGGTACAGCCTACCTGTCCACAAAGCAAACACTAAGCATATCCCCATTAGCTGTACCAACACTCTCTTCATATTTAAACTGGTTTATTTCAAAACACTGCTGAGGAGCAATACAAAATGAAAATGATCTTTACTACTTCACTAGAGAGAAAAATAGTTCTCATGTAGTTGAATGACTTCATATTGAAAAAAAGAGGAGCTGACCTCCAATATTTGTACTATTTCATTTGCATTTATTTAGGAGTTATTTCAATTATCACTTTCAGATCCTTTACCATTATTTATAAATTAATTAAGAAAAATATAAAGAAGGGGAAAATATATGCAATATTTGCACTTTATCTAGAGAAGCCTTTTGCAGTTTGAACTAAAAACCACGTTGTTAGAGCATATCATAGTAACTCTTGTGGTATAACTAGGTAAAAGCATTCTTTGCAGTGTGTAACTGAAGCAGCATATTTATGCTCCCATTACATTTGCTTCCTTCTTTTCCTTATTAAAAAAAAATGACAGAAGATGAAAGCTGCCTTTTCAAAGCTCTCACTACATCTCGGTCAAATAGCTGTCTAAACTGATACTTTGCTTTCTGTGATTACACACTCCTTCATCCACCAGGATATCACAAAACAGTGAATGCAATTTCTCTGAGGAGGAAGAGGTCTTCTGCCATTTGAACCTTTCAAAACATGGAAGAGCTAGACATGGTTATTTCCCCAATGCTAT